AACCTCGCTCTCATTGCAGATGAATCGAGAGAAATAGGAGAGGAAGACGACGCCATATTTCCAATCGCTCCTCAAGTTCTCATCTCTCGCCCTCACAGAAACAAACGAGAAGACGACGCCATGGTTGCAATCGCTCCTCAGGTTCTTATCTCTCTTCCCCTCACAGTCTCACAGAAATAAATCGATTGACGAAAAGGGAGCAAGACTGGCCAAAATTGCAGAGGAATTGGATGAATTATATATTCTCGATTTCATTATTGTATGGATTCAACCAACGCTTTCTCTTTTCATTTTCGTATTAACAAGAATGCATCCAGAAAAAAAAATCTTTTAAAAACATCAAGAAAACATGATAGCCAAGTGCCCAAGTAGAGCTGAATTGATAGCCACGACGTTGTTAACATGAATAGCTCTACTTGGCTTGATTTTTCTTTTGGTTGTAAACAAATTAATTAATGATTTTTGTATCTTAATGAAAAAGTATTTTGGTTTAGAAGATATATTCTCATATCTGTACTTTTTTCATGGCGGCTTATTGTAGTCCAAGAGTTCTAATATAAGTGCTTTGGAAGTTGACCCCCCAGGATGCTCATTCAATCCATTCCCTGAATTCCACCAGTTTTTTTTTTTTAAACCTGATCATCAATTTAGTCTTTTTTCTGAAGAAGTAAACATTTACCTTATCTTTTCATTACAAACTATGCCTAAGAAAAAGTGTATTGACAAGGTTCAGGACTAAAGGATAATGCCATGTTTGAAAGTTTACCTATGTGTTGATTCTGATTGGATATTATTGAGAGTTAATACCCGATTGTGTATGAACTATCACTTAAGTTGCCCTTAACTTTTTATTGGACTCAATATACTTATTGACTCAACATAGTCGGGTAACAAATTAAGTGAGCATTGTTCTCAGTTTATCTTTATTTCTTTTTTTTTTCTTTTAATCATTTTTTCTTTTTTTATCTTTCTTATCTTCTTTATCTTTTATCTTATCTGTTTTTTATTATCTTTTCAGCTCCATTTTCATATATCAATTCATGTTAGTCAACTCCAAATTCTCGATTTTTTTTAAAACCTGATCACCAATTGTTTTTTACTTCAATGTGGTTTTGTTCTATTGATGGTAAATTATGTTTGGCAGATAAAATGAAGAAAGTTTATCCCCATAAGTTGGGGCCCAATCCTGTTCCTTTAACTGTTCCTGCAGATACAGCTGATGAAGATAATGTATGTGTGTGGCTGGGTGTAGTCTTTTTTCCCATTAACTGCATTTTTCATGAGAGGAGGTCTGAATTTTAGGTTCTTGATATAGGGGTTAGGAAGGGTTAGCCTATGACTTGATGAATACAATGTTTCTAAATAAAAGCTGATTGAATATTATTATGTTTATCTTTTACTACCTCTGTCCCCCTATGTTTGGGACAAAGAGGTGTGGTGGGATTTTTAAGAAAAAGTAGATATGTGTGGTTGATATTAAATTGATAAAGTCTGAATAGTGTAAGAATGAATTGTAGCCACCCAAACATTACCAAATATGGTATGGTACAAACTTAATGGGACAGACGAAAAAGGTAAAACGGGACAAACTTAGGGGGACGGAGGGAGTAGTATTTACGGAGTATATAATCTCATACGTAGTATATACATATGGTATAAGCACTCCAAAGCCCCTTCCCCTCCAAAATTCTCCTATCAAACTGAGCCTTAAGAATGTCTTATCTTTTCATTACATAATATGCCTAAGAATGTCATGAAAAAAAAGAGTCATAAGTTCATAACTGAAAGCTTAAAAGCTTGAAATAAGGAAGTCTTATTTTAGGAAAGTTCCATTACAAAATCACTTCAGGCTAATATGAAAGTATCTTGGAACAGGCAATATCCGAATAGTAGGGAAAAGGGCATGAATGTTCAGGGAATAAACTTTGCAATGCAGTGATTAGGAAAACTGTTATAATATGGAAGGAAATAAGCAGAAGATCAGGGAGAGAAATATAGTATGAACACTTAGTGATAGATTATATTATTGAGAGTGTGATAATGGTGTAACCATGGTGTGTTAATTACAATGGAGAAGTCTCCTGTTTATAGGAGAAAAGTTAAGCTTCATAGGATTAGAGGATAATTGTGAACCACACAATTATCATCTAGAATCATAATTATGATTTACTGATTATTTATGTAATGGTGATAATAATTCCTAATCAGGAATAGTTGGAAGATGACTAATTCAATTATATTTCAACACTCCCCCTTGAATGGTCATCTTCTAATTATTCTGGGGTATTAGATTCATAGTATTATAATGTACTGTCTCGTTAAAAACCTTTGTCAAGAAAAACCCAGTGGGATAAAAACCTGACGAAGGGAAAAAGAGTGCAGTGCATTATATTACTCCCCCTCAATTTAACATATATCTCGAAGACGATACATTCCAATTTTATGGACCAGTTCTTCAAATTTCTTCGGTGCCAATGACTTTGTGAACAAATCAGCAGGGTTGTCGCATGACTTGATTTGTTTGACATCAACCGTTCCGTCATTCTCAAGATCATGTGTGGAGAAAAGTTTTGGTGATATATGCTTTGTTCTGTCCCCTTTGATGTAACCTCCTTTGATCTGAGCTATACATGCTGTATTATCTTCATAAATCACAGTAGGATTAGAAGTAAAAGATTTTATACCGCATTCATTTTGTATGTGCTGGATCATTGATCTCAACCAGACACACTCACGACCTGCTTCATAAAGAGCAATTAATTCTGCATGATTTGATGATGTTGCAGTTAATGTTTGCTTCATTGATCTCCATGATATAGCGGTATCACCATAGGTGAATAAATATCCTGTTTGTGATTTTGCCTTTTGTGGATCAGACAAGTATCCTGCATCCGCGTAGCCAATTAAAGTGGCATTTGCACCATTCTTGAAATACAATCCAAGATCGATTGTACCATTGAGATATCGGAATATATGTTTGACACCATTCCAATGCCTTCTTGTTGGGGAAGAACTGTACCTGGCTAATAAATTTACAGAAAAAGCAATATCTGGTCGAGTATTATTAGCCAAATACATTAATGCTCCAATAGCACTCAAATACGGTATTTCGGGACCAAGGATTTCTTCATCATCTTCACAAGGTCGGAAAGGATCATCATGCACATTGAGAGATCGAACCACCATTGGAGAATTGAGCGGATGTGCTTTATCCATGTAAAATCGCTTCAAAAGTTTCTCGGTATAATTTGATTGGTGGATGAAAATACCATTTCTCAAATGTTCAATTTGAATGCCGAGACAAAATTTTGTTCTCCCAAGGTCTTTCATTTCAAATTCTTTCATGAGATATTTTGCAGTATTTTCAATTTCATTAGGAGTTCCGATTATATTCAAATCATCAACATATACTGCAATTATGGCGAATCCTGATTCGGATCGCTGAATGAAAACACATGGACTAATAGGATCATTTTTATATCCTTCTTTAATCAAATATTCACTGAGACGGTTATACCACATGCGTCCAGATTGTTTTAATCCATATAATGACTTTTGCAATTTTATGGAAAATAAATCTCGAGATTTCGAGCTATAAGCATCAGGTATTTTAAAGCCTCCAGGAATTCTCATATATATGTCTGTATCGAGTGAACCGTATAAATATGCGGTCACCACATCCATTAGGCGCATTTGCAACCTTTCAAAAACAGACATGCCAATTAAAAATCTTAAAGTTGTAGCATCAACTACTGGAGAATACGTCTCATCATAATCGATTCCTGGCATTTGAGAAAAACCTTGGGCAACAAGTCGGGCTTTGTATCTAACGATTTCATTTTTCTCGTTGCGTTTACGCACAAAAACCCATTTAAAACCGACAGGTTTTACGCCTTTTGGCGTATGGACAATTGGTCCAAAAACATTACGCTTTTCTAGCGATTTTAATTCTACCTGAATTGCTTCATTCCATTTTGGCCAATCATTTCTACGACGACATTCGTCAATAGATTTAGGCTCATTGTCATCGTGTTCATTCATTATATCTGTGGCGATGGCATATGAAAATATATCATTAACATCAATATCATTTCTATTCCATTGTATTCCATTAGAAACGTAATTAATTGAAATTTCAAAATTATCGACGTTTCTATCTTTGTCTGGAATATTTACCTCTTCAAAGGTGATTGGATCCTCTTTTGAGGTATCATTATTATTGATGTTATCTTCAAGGCCGATATTTTCAAAATGTTCATTTTCTTCTTGAGAAGGTTGAACTTCTTTGGCATCACAAACTACAACTTGCTGTTTAAATTTTCTTGGTTTCAAATCTCTTGAACCAAGTGGTCTACCACGTTTTTTACGTATCATAGATTCATTAGCAAGTGTTCTTTCGCTAATCTCCGCAGAAATTTCTATTCGAGAAGGAGCATTCATAGCTGGAACATGTGACTTTGTCACTTTCTTTGAGTCTGTGAAAGCATCAGGCAATTGGTTTGCAACATTTTGTAAATGAATAATCTTTTGAATTTCTTGTTCACAAGCATTCGTGCGAGAATCAAGAAAAGATAAATTTGTTGCATTCCAAGTAATATCTTTCGTACGTGGGTCCATTTCTTGAATATCTCCCCCTAAGGCTGGGAATACTGTCTCATCAAAATGACAGTCATCGAACCGCGCGGTGAATAAGTCACCGGTCATAGGTTCTAGATAATTAATAATTGAGGGTGATTGAAAACCAACATAAATTCCCAGCCTTCTTTGAGGACCCATTTTAGTACGATAAGGTGGAGCAATTGGTACATACACGGAACAACCAAATATTTTTAGGTGTGATATATTTGGTTCTTTACCAGATATTAATTGTAATGGGGAAAATTTATGATATGCTGTTGGCCTAAGCCGAATTAAATTTGCAGCATGCATTATAGCATATCCCCATGCAGATGATGGTAATCTGGATTTCATCAATAATGGTCTAGCAATTAATTGTAATCGCTTAATTAAGGATTCAGCAAGACCATTTTGTGTATGTACATGTGGAACTGGATGTTCCACATCAATCCCAATTGACATGCAATAGTCATTAAAAGATTGGGATGTAAATTCTCCTGCATTATCAAGTCGGATTTTCTTTATCGAATAATCCGGAAATTGTGATCTCAAACGAATAATTTGAGCAAGGAGATTTGCAAATGCAAAATTTCTAGTCGATAAAAGACTGACATGTGACCAACGTGTTGATGCATCAATGAGCACCATAAAATATCGAAACGGTCCACACGGAGGGGTAATTGGCCCACAAATATCTCCTTGAATTCTTTCTAAAAATGCAGGAGATTCAACTCCAATTTTGTATAAAGATGGCCTGATAATTAATTTGCCAAGAGAACAGGCAGTGCATGGAAAATCACTTGATTGTGGAATCTTGACATTATTTAATGAATGTCCAAGTGAATTTTGAATAATTTTGTGCATCATAGTGCTGCCTGGATGACCTAACCGGTCATGCCACAAGATAAAAGAATTGTGGTCATAAATTTTAGATACCACATTTATCTCAATTGGACTGATATATGTATAATACAGTCCCGAGGAATATGCTGGCATTTTTTCAGAAATGTATTTATTGCCAGATCTATTTGTCGTTAGACATAAATATTCCTTCTGATTTTCAGACATGGTTTGAATATGAAAACCATTTAGACGCAAATCTTTAAAGCTCAAAAGATTTCTCCGTGATTTACTGGAGTATAAAGCGTCTTTAATTATTAATTTTGTCCCTTTTGGGAGAATCACACAGGCTATTCCAGAACCTTCAATGAGTTTAGCAACACCTGAGATTGTATTGACATTAGCATCAACTATTGTCATATGAGAAAAATAATCTCTATGTCTCAAAATGGTGTGCGTTGTGGCACTGTCTATTAGACATTGTTCAGAGCCACTTGGAGAAATTTTAGTTAACTCCATATCTGCTGGGAAGATGATGATTTCGGGGATGTGGAGCAAATTCGTGCTGATAACGTGTTATAATATGGAAGGAAATAAGCAGAAGATCAGGGAGAGAAATATAGTATGAACACTTAGTGATAGATTATATTATTGAGAGTGTGATAATGGTGTAACCATGGTGTGTTAATTACAGTGGAGAAGTCTCCTATTTATAGGAGAAAAGTTAAGCTTCATAGGATTAGAGGATAATTGTGAACCACACAATTATCATCTAGAATCATAATTATGATTTACTGATTATTTATGTAATGGTGATAATAATTCCTAATCAGGAATAGTTGGAAGATGACTAATTCAATTATATTTCAACAAAAACATTGTATTTCATATTCTAAATTAATCGAGGAATTAGAATAAACTCAGTCCATAGTTTACTTTGTTGCCCATACCTGGATATCTGCTCCATTAATGGAGGACTTTGAATTAGAGGATAGAAAAAATTTCGGTGGAGAATGCCAAAGACCTAATTGCACATTCCAAGGGGTTAGTTTCAAAAAAAGACTACGTTAGGCTCAAAAGAAGAGTAATAACCAAAGCTTAGAAGCTAAAATAAGAAACATTTTTTCTGCAAAACTAATTCGTTCTTAAGAAAATGAGAAAACTACTGAAGATTATACCCAATTTAGTCTTTTTTCTGAAGAAGTAAACATTTGTCACCCAACTTTTGGTTTTAACAAACGTTTTTATACTTACAATTTGCTGCATTTTTATCACGCAATGAAAATTAGTTCCGCATGTCTATGTTAAAAATTTCTTTACTCTTATATTAAGACATATATTTCCATCTAGAAATACATAATAGCACTACAACAATAACAACATAATGCAAGTGTAAGGCATATGAAATGAAGAAAGTTTATCCCGATAAGTTGGGGACCGAGCCTGTTCCTTTAACTGTTCCTGGATATACAGCTGATGAAGATAATGCAAGCGTGTGGCTGGGTGTAGTCTTTTTCCCATTAACTGCAATTTTCATGAGAAGAGGTCTGAATTTAAGGGTCTTGATATAGGGGTTAGGAAGGCTTAGTGTTTCAAATTTCATGTCTTGATGAATACTATCATATAATGTTTCTAAATAAAAGACGATTGAATATTATTGTGTTTAGCTTTCAGTATTTATAAAATCTCATATATATACATCAATGGCATAAGCACCTCAAAGCCCCTTCCTCTCCATATACTGTGAAAAAGCATTATTAAAGAAGCTGTTAAATTCTAAGTTGGTGGCACTTCCTAACAATTGGGTGTGACCAATGTCCTCCCAAAGTTTTATTTCTTCATATTTTTTATTTTATTTTTATTTTATTGTTTTTTATTATAGAATATACATATGACTTATTAAGGATGGACGTCAATCATGTATCCTTTAATGCAAGTTCAAATTTTAGTTTTTACTACAAAAATATATTAGATGGAAGAATTAAGAATATAATTGGTGGCTTAGATTTGAGTTTATTTAATTAGTGTGTTTTCTTATCCCACTAGGTGATACTCCGTACATATTTCCATAGTCTTATCTTTCTGTATCCGACAATTTGTTCCAGGAAGACTTGCCAAGCATGTAGATATAAACATTCGGTCCTTCAGAGGGAGGCATTGACTTCAAACAATATTGAAGTGGATGATGGGTCTTTGACTCCGAATCGTCTGACGAAGTAATTATACTACGTATCTATTAAGATGTCATTATCTCATCAGGAGCTCCTAGATCAATTGGTTGATCCCCATTGGAGCAGTACGATCAAAAGGTTCCACATAAAAGTGCACAAATAGTTAAGAAATTATTGAGTTTATCTTTAAATTAGTTTGTTACTTTGTTTAGTTTATTTAATTTCCGTTCTTCATTGGTTGTAATATTTCCTTATTTTTAATAAAGTTTCTTTTTCTAATAAAGTTTCTTTTTCTTCATTAGCAAACTTGCTAGACACACGATTTACCACCTCTTTATGCTTGATTATTGAGAAGTACTACAGAATACAGAGGTTGTAATCTTAGCATGTGAGTGGAAACTAAGTATATTAATATGGTTAAAATCCTTATATAGTTTTACATTTCACAAAAATCATTTCGCAACTAAAGAGTATCATTTTTTTCTACACCTATCACTCTATCACTTATCAGCTGGGCACCATGGTTGGAGGAGAGTTTTGTTTATTGGATCATTGGATTCTTAGCGGATGATGTTTGGGATCCTCATTGCTTTCTATTTTAAATCTGCTAATATTATTTTGATTTTGCATAGTCCATTCATTATTGCAAACAAAATTTTGTTTGTATTTAAAAACCTTTTTTAGTGTGTTCCTCTTTGAAATAACATATTTTGATGAAATCTTAAATGGAACATTACTGACATAAAATGTATGTATATTAGATGATCAAGCATATGACCTTTTTTAATATTTGTATGGCTGGTGGGTGGCTATGTGTGGCTGATTAATTACTACGTATAATTTTTTACGTATAGGTAGACATATCTACAAATACGATAGTATAACATTTATAAATGGGGAGAATTTGACATTCGCATTTTGGGGGCGATATTTGACGTTCTATTGTATAGACTATAGATGTCAACCCAAAAAAAAAATCAAAATGATGTTATGAGTGCCTCCTCAGATGAGCAACCTGCATTTCAGGGATCATAATTAAATATTAGTTAAATCAATATAAACCTAATAGTCTCAATAAATAGCATTTACACACACAATGCTAATACATTGTTTTCCTGTTCTTGACATATAGAAGATGTTGAATATGCAAATTGTTCAAGTGAAGGTATTATTCAATTTTGAATGTTTATATATCTATTTTCAAACTAAATATTAATACTATGTGTGGATTACAACAAAGTACAAAAGAAAATAATCAAATCCTTGAGCAGCCACATGACTATCTTTGGGACTTATATGCAATAATTTATATTGCAATCATTTTAGCCTATGCAGATCTTGGGGACTAATCTTATCAATGCAGATTTTGTGGCGCTTTGTTTTGGTACGAAGATTGAGTAAAGATATGTTCTGCATCAAAACGACCAAGATTCTCTCTGTGTTGTAATTGAGGAGATGTTGTGTTACTTGCAATGAAAGAACCACCTGAACTTCTAAATAGTATGATGTTTGGGTCTATCGAACGTAGCTGTCATTTTCTCAAAAATATTTGTTCATATAATGCAATGTTTGCAATCACTTCTATGGGAGGAAAAATTAACAAAGAGACAAATCAAGGAAATATGCCACCAATATTTTGAACAAATGGACAAAACTGCCATAGAATTGGTAGTCTCCTTTCAAGGGACGTCAACCAACCATTTCTGTGGTCATACTGCATTGTGTTGAAGTTTACAAAGAATATGAGACTCGGCCACGTGGGAGGAACATTAGAAATTAAAAACTTTGCCGAGTGGATTTTGAAACGGGGATGAGGTCCTAGGGACACGGTGATGATGGAGAATCAATGGTTGACATTCTTGAAGAATTTATTGCTCCTATAACCGATGATTCTATTGAAGCTATTGTTAAATTCACATATCCCGATTTTGGAATGCACTGTAATGTTTTCTTATTTGAATTATAGGGCAATTTTTGCACCAATCATTGATGAACGCGTCAAGAACAATGATTACATATTGGGACTGAATCCAGGTGAGGCAAAGACATATTTGAGCTCAGATTCATCATCTTCTTCCGACTCAGATAGTCCACTTCTTCAAGAGATCCACTCTCCAGAATATCTCAATATCATTAAATGGCTCCGGCGTATCTAGCCATGAGCCGAAGCTGAAAGTGAGTACACCTATGATGCTAATGAGAAATATCAATCATTCTTCGAGATTGTGTAATGGCACTCGCCTTATCATTATTAAACTTGGAACACATATTCTCGAGACTTAGATGATGTGAGGAACAAATGCAGGAAAAATGTTTCTTATTACGAAACTTAGTTTGACTCCTTCTCACCTTTGAATGCTTAGCTATGCGATGACCATCAACAAGAGTCAGAGATAATCTTTGGAGAGGGTTAGTGTTTTCTTATGTCATCCGATTTTCATCCATGGACAACTGTACATCACGGTCTCAAGAGTAACATCCCCGTTTCATTTGAAGTTTAATATATGTGATGAAGACGGAAAACCAACAAATAGGACTTTAGATGTTGTTTACAAGGAAATATATAATAATTTATAATTTTTTATCTACATTTTTTTAAAACAATAACCATTGTTCTATCTTTATCACATCATGTTTATATATTTCCAAATGAGTTACTAACCCCATCCCGTGCGAAGC